TACTCTGTCTATGCATGAATATGCCATTTCACCAGCGTTTCTATTCTATCTCCATCTGCTGTTGCTCTTCCTGAGAATTTGCTAAATATTTTGCCTCTAATTGTGTTCTATGGATAGAGTGTGAGAAATGTTGGTTTTGCGATGGGAGGAGGAGGAAATGAATAGGATGTACTTGACCTGACCATGAAACCTTCCTCATCAAGCCAATAGATTTTAGCCTAGTCACTCAACATGATGAGGGCATCGTTGACAAAAGCGCCGGGTCAGGCACCCTGCTGCACCCGTCATCTGACTTAGAAGTGGATAGAAATGGAGCTTAGGAAGTGAAATGTCAGTATGGTGCCTCTTAAGACCCCTTGTAATGCTCTATTGCCTAATCTAGACTTACACCCTCTGCCCTGCGTTAATTAACACAGTGAAGATGTGAGTCTCTGTCTGCCTCGTTCATGCCGTTCAGAAGCGGGTTTACTGGAACATAAGAATGAACAAAGAAAAGGTCTTACAAACTATGCAGTTGTTGGACACTAAAGTCCTCGAGAGTCTCCGAGTCCTTGCTGCTGACAGCCATCCGTACATCGTGTCGCTGCGATCGATGCAGTTCACTATGGGAATGATATTGCCTTTCTTGCCTTTGACAGATACAGCACTGGTGTTCACTTGGCAGTCAGACCAAATTGTTTTTGTTTTTTTTATCCCATCCCATGTTCTCCGAATCTCTCAGCCTCCATTCTGCCAGCTCCAGATGGGCTTTCACACGGTGGTCATCGGGTCCCTCGTTTCCTGACCCGGACCCCTGTGACATTTGGTGAGATCGGCCATGTGGGGAGCTATACAAAGAATCGGGATGGTTCGAATCATATTACGTCTCGGCTCTTGCAAATGAATCTCTCACAGAGTCTATGGAGCTTTTTGAATGTTATGCCGTGCTGTTCACCCTGCGAACTTTGAGATCTTTTACTGACAGCTCGTCCGTTTAACTGAACATTGGTGGTCTCTATACAATATTAAAAGGAATCATGACTAGCAGACACAGTTTAGATGAGTTATTTCTTCAAAGATGCACTGCCCTATCAAATGTTCCGTTTGTATCCAGCACAAGGTGATGAAACATTTGGTGAAATAAAAATGCTCGGCTGTTTCTCAAGGATGCACACAATGCGCTGCTAATGAGAACATACTGATTGAACAGTTTAGATTCAGAGTGCCTTTTAAGCAGAGGCGTTTCTTCTGAACCTCCCTGCTGTCCGTGTGTATTTAAAGGCTTGTGTGTGTGTGTGTGTGTGTGTGTGTGTGTGTGTCAGTCAGAGTCAGAGGTCAGTAGTGGCGTGAGGCCTTTTGTCAGTGGGGCTACTGAGGAACACAAAGAGAGGCTGGATAGTCAGGATGCTGCTCTCCAGAGAGACACGGGTTCAGAGGTCAACATAGGCTCCTTTTGGGGAAGTGTGTGTGTGGGTGGTGTGTGTTGGCCCTACTTATGCACAAACCGCTATGTGTGAGCATGTGTATGTGTCCGCATGCGCTGGGTGGGGTTGCGCACGGCACAAAATTGATCCCGGTGGACGGGAATTTTGGGAACAGGTCCCCGTGGACAGAGACGGGAAAAGGGGGGAGCGAGGGGATGATGAGGGTTGATGGCGGTTGCCGACGGGGTCCAGCAGGAATGGAGCAGCCTGCTAATGAAGAGCCATCTGAGGCCTCCATTCACCTTGAACATGGGCCGCTGCAGCTGCCCCGACCTTGGCTTTGATCCACAAAGATGCTTGACCCCCGCAATTCCCCCAGAGCACCCCCACCTCCCCCCACCTGCCATCTGGGAGACACACATGCATATGTATACATACGTAAGTGCACACACCCACAGATACATATGCATGTACACGTGGGCTGACTCACTCACGCACATACACACATGTGCCTTTACAGGTCTTATGTTGCTTAAAACACATTTCAGTCCCCAATGAAAAGCGAGCAAGCAGGGCGGTAAAGGGCCGCTGTCCACTAAAACACATGTGGGGAATTAGGGCTTTAAAGCCAATCCTCCCTCCGCATCCGCAGGTCAAACCACGGCCTTCGTGTCTCGGGACATCAGTCTACTAACTGAAGTTGCTGCACATTGGGAGGTGTCTTCTTTTTGTTACTATCCCAACAGTGGGCACGCTCCATTGGCATTGGTTTCCCTCTCTTCTCCCTAATAGGAATGCAGCGGCTTGGAACGCAGGGGTTCCTTGGAAATTCAAAGTGGCACAACCCACTTCCTCACACACACACACACACACACACCGGCTAGTCTTGCTTGCGCGGTTCAGCTGTAAATGACGGTTATGTCACGGGTGACTGGGGTTGAAGTCCATCCGGGGGAAATGTAGAGCGGTCTGCATTTTCCTTTTCATGTATTTTATCCCTAGCTTTTGAGCATATGTTGAAGCACATGATATCCGGGGGGCTTTTGTTCGATTTAGTTATATAGTCCATTCTCAAAAGGCTTTCAGAACGCATAACGCTTTCGTTTTGATAACATTTGTGTTTTGTGATCCAGCTTTTCCACAGAATTTAGTTATTCCCTTCCCCGATAAAATAGGTCAGTGTCAGTGGGTTTGGTGTCCATGACATGGGCACAGTGTTTGCATCACTGTTCTGGAAGTGTCCAATGATTAAGTTACTGCATGGAGGCAGGCGCATCTGTGCATATGCTGGGGAACAAGCTGTGCCCGTGGCTTGGTAATTAGAGACTAGCAGAAAGGAGAGGCAGTGCGAGAGAGGGGAGGAAAGATTACCCCTCGCTGTGCATCAGGTCTGATTTCTGTGCGGCAATTTTTTTACCCACAGATAGCATCGTACATTTACTTAAGTGAGCTGATTACGGCTCTCGCTTTCACTCATCTCCAAAATACCTTTTATTACTCCCCCCTCCCTCGCCGCCGGTCTTTTCTCCCTAGCAGGCTGTCATGAATTCTCTCTCAGCTCTTGATAATTCTACGCTATCTCCCTTCATTTTATTCTTTTGAAGTTTTTTTTTTTCTCCTCCCCCACCCACCATAATCCATTTGTCTAACGTGGATAGAGGGCAGCGGAAGGAAGTGGTGGAGGAGAGGCGTGTGTCAGAGTCAGAGAGCGCCTGCTCCAGCTGGAGTCAATATTTGCTTTAGGAATCTCAATAACAGGCTTCCAGTCATCTGCATCTCTGATAATGGACCGCCATATGGCTCTGTTGACCCACGCTGAGCGGAAGGTTCTCTCCTCTCTCTCTCTCTCTCTCTCTCTCGCACTCCCCGTGCTCTTTCATTTCTCATCATTTCAACATTCTCCTAACTTTTTCCCATTTCTCTTCATTAAGTCCTTCGTTCTACTTGATTTTGTCTTCCACTTATCATCCATCTGGGCACATTTTGTTCTTTTACAAACATTCTTTTTCTGTGTCTGTCATCCATAAAGCCCTGGACATGACCCACCAGACAATAGCTGTGACCCGAGTTACCATGGCAGCAGAGACTGGCATGCCCGATCTCTTTGTCCAATATTGTTTCCAGCAAGTGACAGAAAACGGTGATGTTGCATGTGTGGGTATGACTGGAGCACCGACATAATGCTCTATGGGGAAGTGTTTTTACCACCTGAAGTTGTGATAAACTGGGACATTTGAGCCTTTCTTTTTAAATGATTTTTCTATATTTCTATAACGATTAAAGTGTTTATCCAAATCACCCAACAAAAACATTGACAGACCTCCTTTCTGTGCGTTATTTAGTTTTAACTTTCTCTCGCAAGTGTTCAAATTTAAACTTCCATGGTTGGAAAATGCTTTTCCTGTTTTGTCCTCTTTTAAAAGACGTGCAAAGTCACTAGTTATTTGGTTAAAAGGGGTGCGTGTGCGACATCCCAATCTGCTGTTCCCCTGTCCTTTGTCTCCGCCTGCCCTCTGTCCAGCCCTGTCTGTCCCCGTGAGCAGCTTGGCCCGTCGTACCCTCTGGTGCCTCCCGGCTCAGGTGCCCGTCACCCCCGCTTCGCCACGGTCCCCTCAAAGCCATTGGTCATGGCTGTTGGCCCCTGCTGTTGCGGCATGTGCCCACTGCAGGCCCCCTGCCCGGTCGCTGTCTCGTCCTATCTATCTAACCCAGACCGGAGCCTCTCGGCCCGGTCCAGCCTATCTCCGCTCAGCCGGGTTCAGCCTTTGGCTTCAGCAGCAGACCGGTGTCATTCCACCCTGGCAGTTGTAGTGACATGAGGAGGGAGGGGGGGAGGCTCTGTTTTTGAGCCTGTGTCTGTGAGAGAGAGAAAGGGAGAGAAGGCATGTGTTTGTCAAGCAATTTGTAAGGTGTCGTCTATCAAAGGAACGTGGTCACAGCAGACAGTCGTGAGAATAATCCGTCTCACTCCCAATAGTTGCCTGTGACATTTCCTTTATCCAGAACTTGCCTCCATTCCGGAGCAGACTTGGCACGATATGTCTGCGATAATGATACGATGATGGCCGTCAGAACGTTTCCCACCCTCGACCGGCAGCCATTTTGCAGGCTCACTTATTTATTTATTAATTTGAGCTTTCCCCCATTTCAAATCCCTCCATCCTTCCGTCCTGCATGCTGGCTGCTCAGGCTCCAGTCGCTGCTTGTCACTCTGAATTTCAAATGGCTCCAATTTTCCCCCTGATGGCACGGAGAAGTGGCAGGCAGCGCACCGGGGAGGGTGGTCCGCTCCGTTTGGAGCGTTACGCCAGTAGTGATGTATTCTGTCTTTCTTTCTGTATGATGATTTTGAAGACGGCTTTCCTGTTGTGGGCCGTGTGGCACGGTCCGGCGCTGCTCCTGGCTCGGTTATTGATGTTGGGGTCGCTCCGCCTTGCCTCTCGCTCTCCCAGTACATGTGCATGCAACGGCGCACCGACATTCTTCTAAATGTGTGACTCATTTAATTGGAAAACTAACCAAAGAATAACTCTTCCTGGCTGCCTCCATCTTCTCCAACAGGTCTTTATGTTTTGTTCCTTAATCAGCGCTAACCAGCTATGAGGAGCGGGCGCTCTACCTGGAGGCCATTGTTCAGAACCACAGAGAGGTCATGACCTTTGAAGACTTTGCCTCGCAGGTCTTCTCTCCCTCTCCCGGCTATCCGATGAGTGGGACAGGTGAGAACCGAGCCACACTGCACCTACATCCACCTTTCTGTATGTTCCCCTCTTAGCCTTCTTTCGCCCCGCTTTGCCTCTTCTCCAGTATTAGTCTCTCCTCCTCCTCCTCCTACTACACACAACACCTGTTCGCCCCTGTCGCCTCCCCCTGCCCCCCTATTCTCTACCATCTTCTTCCACTCCCCCGCTCACTGATGAATATCAAACGACGGGATCGGCTCTTCACGCCGTCCGACTGACTTCAAACAATCCGCTTTCTCCACTTCCTGCTGCACCACTCACGCTACTTTGTTCGCCGCTTCTTGTTTCAAACTGCATCTTTCCGTGCAATTACTTTCCTATGAATATAAGCAGCCTTGTTAAACGGCAGCCGCAGAGTGCACGGGTGTGTGTGTGTGTGTGTGTGTGTGTGTGTGTGTGTGTGTGTGTGTGTGTGTGTGTGTGTGTGTGTGTGTGAGCTCATTCACCAACACTTAGGGGATCCGACCGACTCGCGGATGTCAGCACAGCAGCCTTATCAGTCCATGATGAATACAATGGAAAACGTGTCTTATCATGTTCCTTCTTCTTGTACCAGCTCTGATCGATCTGCGACGGCGGCAAAATCAATACGGGATTACACTTCACTCCGCTCTATTGGCTCACGACACACATTCTGTTATGACCAGGATAGCGCTCCACAATACCACACCACATCCGTCAGTGCTTATGCGCTTTACAGGCGTTTGTAATGTTTGCATCCCACACGCCGACACGTCAGATTCTCGTGTGTGTGTGTGTGTATGTGTATGAACGCAGATTCTCAAAAGAACACACCGGTCACCTCCTCTCGTATTGGCACGTGAAGCGAAGGACTGAGAGGAAGAAAGTAGATCGAGATACAGAATATAGCCGAGAGGAAGCAAGACGTAGCTGTCGTTTTTAGACTATTCCAAATATAGCTTCCTTGTGTGGCTGAATGAGGGAGGTCAGCCAGGTTGAGAGTAATGTTTCCCAGCATGGGACACACACCGCGTCTAATGTGAGAAGCCACGACGTAATGAAGTCCGTACGGTAGTTCTGTCACCCTCGCTGCCGCGGAAACTCGTTCTGAGCAGCAATTTGTATTTCTCCGGAATCTCCTTCTGTAAATAGATTACAAGATGAATGTAAGTGTGCGTTAGTGTGTGTGTGTGTTTCCCTTCATATTCCATCCAGGACTCACAGGCAGCATACAATACTGTAACAGTCTCTTGCTTGAACGGTGGACCATTATAAAACTCCTTTTACAGCAATTTCACAAATGGCCTTTGCTGCTGCTGTTTGTCATTTTAAATACTGACAGGTTCATCTCGGGGGTCATTTGTGGAAAACACACAGAGCTGTATTTAAATTGAATTGCTGTTTCCAAAGTCGGCCTATTTCTAAAGACAACTCTAGAATATTGTTTTATATCTTTTAGGATCAGTTGGATTCACTGAGGTGCTGGAACAAGCAGACACATACATTGTATATTTTAAACTTTTTTCAGTTTTCTTAATTTTAAAGAAACAATGTGTCTTACAGATAATTTAGGCCTAGTGTATAACACAAACATGACGACAACTGGCAAAAAAACTTTGTATGTTTTGTATTAGAAATATTTGTCAAAATTGCCGCTGAGAGATTTTCTATCGATCGATGAATTGTTTAATTGACTCAGTTACTCCCAGCCTCCTAGGCTTTGTGTTTTCATATAAACTTCTTGACTGTATCCCTAAACTAAAAGCTTCTCTTGAGCTTTTCTTTTTTTGTAAAGTATCCTTTACATCGTTGCAGATCCAACGTATCCAAAGCGTACATCTCCAATGCATCACTGATGGCTGCTCCTCATTCTCACCCTCCTGAAATGTGCTTTACTGCCTTCCTGTGTGTGTGTGTGTGTGTGTGTGTGTGTATGTGTATGTGTGTGTGTGTGTGTGTGTGTGTGTGTGTGTGTGTGTGTGTGTGTGTGTGTGTGTGTGTGTGTGTGGTTTTATTTTTTTTTGCTTCCATCTGTCTTGTCTGTCCATCCTGCTCTGGCTCCCATTGCTGCCACTAACATGTCATCCATGCTCCACGACAGCGTGCAGGCGTTGGCCGGGGATGGTTTGGGACACGGAGTACCCCTGGGCCAAACTGGACTGTAGGACTCTGCCTGCTTCCTCCACACTAGGCATGACGCCCAGCCCCCGCCCACCGCCATCCATCCATCCATCCATCCATCCCTTTTAGTCTCTGTGAATCCCGCCATCACCGACAAACTGGCCCTTTTTGTAAAGCGAGAACGGAGTAGAGTAGTGAAGTACAGATTATGCATGCTAATCGCTAAATACCGTTTCCCCCCCCCGATCCAGCCCCAGCCCCCTCCTGTCACCTCTCATTTCGGGGCTCTCCAGCATCCTCCACAGCGCCGTCCACCACGATCCTGAATGCAAGCTCACCTTGACCCCCCCCCCTCTAAGTTCACACCGGCGTCACGGCGTCCCGCATGAGCCGGTCCATCTGGCCCCGAGACGGTGCCGTGGCCTCGCTGTGAAAGACCCGCACTGCTTTGCTCCGTTTTTTGTGTTGTGTGTTTTCATCCTCTAAACTTTTTGTTGTTGAATTTAGTAGAATTGCGATACTTTTCTCACGGATAACTCACCCCGACCCCCCTCTAATACCACTGGTGATGGATGTTGCTGTTGTGAACTGCCTTCCATTCATGCTTCATGGATTTCAAAATGTCCCTGATTTTGAAATGTTGTGAATCGGACGGATCGATCAAGGCAGCATCCGATATGATGAGCCCTCAAGGTGTCGTCAGGGGGAAGGAAATGGTGTTCGGATTAATTCTTCTCCCAAATCAGTTAACCCTGTGTGACTTTTGAACCCTCCAGTGACGACTAACCTCGACGCCACGCAAGCTGTCTGAAAAACCTCCGCTAGTCCAGACAGCGTTACAGCAGCCTTGTGTCGTGTGTGTGTGTGTGTGTCCACTGCTCTCTCACATGATGCTCTACTCTGTTTTTCCCTTGTAGATTAAAAATATCTTAACGGTCCAAATACTGTATATGGTGAAGGTAAGCCCCGAGTCAGTCGGAAGCTTCTTTCCGTCCAGCGGCCTTTCAACCGCCCGCTCGATCACGCATCCTGGCTGTTTCTCCTTTCCACCTCGCCTTTTTTTTTCTTTTTGTCTAATTTAACACTAACCAAGCTTTACTTACTGATTGCTCTGACAAAGAGAAGGGCCCAGAGAAATCAGGCTGTTTATTTGGCGGGCGGGGGGGGGGGTGTGTCCCACTGTTTAGGACAGGCTGGTAATTGAAAGTGATGCACGGTGGGGACAATTAGCACCTGACTAAGTAGCAGCATGAACAATACGGCTACACTTCTGGCCCTCGCTTCTGCATGTGGCGCGCCTTTATCTCTTCTCCCAGCAAACACTCGTCTCTTTTCTTTCTTTGGTTCCCCCCCCCGCACCCCCCTCCCATTTCCTCCTGTTGGAGTGTGCCTGTTTGCCTGGGGCAGACTCTGAGACTAACACCTGCCGCACTGGAAGATGTCTTTGTCATCTGCAGCCTTGTTTGAACTGCTGCGCAGGGGACCAATGGGATCGCGGGGCCATTTAAAGACCCTCTTTGTTTTCTCTCCCACTCGCCCTTCCCCTTTCCATTTGAAATTAACCTTACCGTAAGGCAGATTGCGCTGAGTGAGGAGCGGAAATGTTGGCTTCTTATCGCGATAATAATGATACATGAGCACTTCTGCACATGGCTTCTTTTTTCCACTCGGTTACTTGCTATGAAAATGAATTCTGACACGAGGCCGCACAGCGAGGCACCACGTTTAGGAACTGATGTAACCACAGTGGTTGAGTGCGTCGGTGGGAGTGATGACTGTTTAGTGCAGCATGTTTTAATGGCTGCTAAACGAAAAGGGAAGTCTGTTGAGTGGGTGGATCACTGTAACGCACTATTGTCTGTGTATATTAGCTGTAATAGGCGGCTTCCTTCATCGCGTGTCTCTGCAGCACACGCTGACAGTTTACTTCATAAAGCAAAGGCTTTACGGTAGGAATGAGTCAAAGAATATGGGAATGCGGATTTCTTTCCATTTTTAGCCAAGCCCAACCCCCCTTTTTTTTCCGATTCATATGGAGATTTTACCCCCCCCCCCAGGCCCAGCCCCTTCACAAAACCCACCCTATGTTTCACTCGTGGCCCGGCCCTCCTCTCCCCACGAGCCGCAGCCCCGGATGCTGCCGGTGTCCACTGTGCTGCTGAGTGTCTGTTACTGCAGCCATCTGCCGTCCCTTTTAGCCGTTGCAACTTGAGATGCCTCCGGAAAGAAATGGCAGGAAATAAAAGGATAGGGAAGAAAATAGGCAACCAGATGCCACCTCAACAAAGCAGAAAAGTTGTTTAAACTCGGAGCATGAGGCCGAGGCGGGTGGGTGGTGGGGGGGGGGGGTGACCGGTGGTCTTGGATTGGTGGTGGGGGGGGGGGCACGCTGAGGAAATTCGGGCCGCGCTTGATTGTCCTCCCCGGCGCTCCGTGCCCACCTCCCGGCTTATTGCGGCCTGCTGTCCCCTAATCACGGATGTGAAGTTTTTGAAAAAGGACAATGCTGGACAATAGGACGTCTCCACGTGTTCACAACAAGAGCATAATGTGCAATTTTATTTCCATTCAAAGCATTCTGCTGTCACACTGTGAAGCGAATACTTTTCCTTTTCTTTCTTTATCTTCTTTTGCCCGTTGCTCCAAAAGGTTACCGCTCATTTTTTTAAAATATTATATAAACATCTCGCAAAACTGTACTGGGAAGAAAGGCCGATTTTCTTTAACAAGCTTCTGCTTTTTCACGGCATGTGAAGGAGGCATGTCAGTTTTCTGCACACAGTCTGTTTTGCAATGAAGGGACGGAACGAGCGCTGAACGGTTCTGCGAATGTCGGTGGAAATCCCATAAGATCTGTAATTCCTGGTTGTGGGAGCGGCGACCTGCATGACAAAGCATGCTGGGACGAACGGCAATCACACGAAGCCCGATGAACCGCGCCGCCACGTCTGACCCGCTCCGTCTCTCTCCACCCGTTGTCTCCCCACCCTCTCCCCGCCCCCCTCTCCCCCAGGCTCCTTCACCGGCAGCGCCAGCACCGAGTCCGGAAGCGCGGCGGCCGCGGCGGACTCCGTGGACCAGGTTTCCCCCACGATGCCCCGCGCCACAAAGAACCGTGTCTCCGGGAAGCTGCGCCGGTCAGCCAGCGCTATAAGCAAGTCCTCCAACTGAGCTCTTCACCCCCCCCCCCCCCCCTCAACTTGTGCAGCCTTTAATCTTCTCTCAAAGACCTCAAACGCCCGGCGGCGACTGCACACTCGTGTCTTTTTTGGGCGAGTCCTTGTTTTTACTCTGTGTCATATAAACATGTAACTGGAGCATATTGCAATTTTTTAATTTAAGTGGCGAGTTTTGATTTCGTTCATGCATTTCCCATTCTTTGTGGTGTTTGGCTGCTCGATCGAGACGCCACGAAGGTATTTATGTTCACCCCGGTGGTCGGCAGCATAGGAAGACCGTTTCAATGCGAGGATGTTGTTTTTATTCTCACTGTCTCGTGCGGTCTCGACGCACTACAGAGTGGCACTGAATGATACAGATGTAAATGGCACCATGCTGAAGCTGCACCAGGGATTGGTAACCGTCTGTGAATGCGTTTGCCTTTTTTACACCTCCTCCTGCACCCGCCACGACCTTCCCCGTGTCAAGAAGAACCACTTCAGTGGGTGACGGGCACCAGTTTGGACTTTGTCTCCCTACACTGAAAAGGAGAAGACACTGATGCAAGTGGAACACCCCCCTAGAATGATTCCCACTCGCTGCACTACTACGGTCCCTGCAGGACGAGCAGTCGGAGGCGTCTTAATTGTTTCCAGCCCAGAGTGGACAATCGATGACGTCTTTCTAACTTGAGCTGAAAAGAAATTCGTTTTGGTTGTTTGTTGTTTGTTTCTTTTTATCGCTCTTGATTTTCATTTTTAAATGAATTCCGATGGATCGCGTCAGGATTTGATTTATGCAACTGCGCTGGAATGAGAAGAGACTGCGGTTGTAATTGTTTTCTGATGACGTTAACTTAGGCTCATGTCCGGTAATTGGATGAGTTCCTCCTGTCTCTTTCCTCCCATATCAGTTTCCCTGTCCTGTGAAGCTAAAGACATCGACATTCCAACGTTCCCGACCAACGTTTTTGCACTTGCCCTCATTGATTTAACTAGGATTGAATGTTTCTCTTGTTCTTGGATTTAAATTGCTTTAAAATTGTATTTTGTCTGTTGCTGGATGTATATAGAACTGTCTGATGAATATTTTTTTCTGTTTTGTTGTACTATGTAATATTGTGCTTTTTAGAGGAACAATACCGCCAGAGCCTCAGGTGAATCTTACCTCCATGCACTGGTGTGTGTGTGTGTGTGTGTGTGTCTGTGTGCGCGTGCGTGTGTGTGTGCGTGTGAGGTGTGAGAGAGTTTCTGAAAGAGCTTCTCACGGTGCCTGTGTATTGTCTGTCATGTAAGATGCTGTCCAACGCCACTTCTCCTCCCCATAATCAGATTTTAGTTGCCCCTCTGCGTGGTCTGAGACTAACCATGGACACCTTGCGTCACATCTCGCCGTTAGCAGCGCTAACTCAAAGCTCTTTTTTATTTCTTTTTTTATCCTCCGTGTGTCTAAAGGCCAGTGTCTTGTGCTTCCTACAACAAAAACAGCAGCAGATGGATTTTGAATTGGGGTTCTCCATTTAGACTTTATTACAGGTGGTGCGCTGCTCCGTTCTTTATATTTGAATGGATCAAGTGGCACCACCTCCTCCTCCTCCTCTTTCCCATGATCCTCTCCTCCTGTCGCCTCCTGGGGCTAAAGGAGGGGCGGCTGTTCTGGGTTTAGGTGGCATGCCAGAGCTGAACTCTTAACAGCCCTCCTAGCAACGGCCGGGCCGACGCACTCACTTCTCCAACCGGCCCGCTCAGGTTGTCATGGTAGCCAGGTGTCTCCACCCCCCCCCCCCCCCCCACACACACACACACACACACACACACACACACACCCTCTGAGGACTCCACCCGAGCTGCAACACTGTCCCCATCTGTTGCACGATGCCTTACTTTCCCCCCATGCTCTCCTCTCTCTCTCCTCACATGTCGCCTCCTTTTGTTTGTTTAGTCCTCAAACAGAAAATGACGAAGGAGGACAAATCCATTTTTTTATTTGCTTTATCTTTTTTGAAGAATGTACAGATTTTTATTTCCCCCCCAAAGCCACTTGAAGGAAGCGCCCAGGATGGTGATTTTAAAGATTGTAGGTTATGATGTATGTTAAAAGGGGTCTGTGCTCCCCCTTTGGGGGCTTAGTCGCTGGAGATGTTAGTTTGGACCAAGATGATTGTGTGTCTTAAATGCGTGGCGATAACGAGCTAGTGTTAGGCCTAGTGTGTGTTTTTCTTCTCCTTTCAGAAATCCTTGTACATTGTGTCAAATTTGAGGGCGTGTGCGCCTTCCTAATATAAATATATGAATGCCTGTAATATAATCTTTGTATAAGAGGAAAAAAAGCTTGAAGATTTCATCATTACTTGTCAACATATCAAACTGTTTTTAACGACCGAAGCCCTGCTATCTTTATTAGAAATGTGAAAAATTTCATTAAATCAATTTGAAATTCTAACTTATCTGTCCTTTTTCCTTAAAAACACATCGGCTAATTGTGTAACCTCAGATTTGTGGAGTTGTGTGTGTGTGCTGACATGATGGTGCTGTTACCATGGACTTTGTGACCCTGGCCCAGCCACACAGGCAGCAGCAGCAGGGGAAACCTGACCCCCCTCCCATCTGTCTCCCCTGCTGCTCGGCACCGGACTCCGCTCAGCGGAGGCCGACATAATGGAACCTCACCAAGAGGTACAGGTGCAGTGGTTGCAGCACCTTCGGGTGCCCTGCCTCGCCTGGGTCACATAAAGACGCAAGAAAAGCACTTGACCGTAATTGGAGCCCTAAAACCGTGTGTGTGTGTGTGTGTGAGAGTTTGAGAAAGCTGATAATGTTGCCTCATTTCCACCCGGCGGCGGAGCGTTGTTGCCCTCAGTCAGTGACTGTGAGGTGGTTTACAACACAACAGACCTTCTGAGAGTCTCAGAAGGTCTCCCGCTCCCACATATATATATTCCGTGTCTTTAATATTCCTCGCTGTTCCCTGCAGTTCCAACATTGCTGCCATGATGCATTGTCACTGATGCCTAAAGCGGGAGTGACACATTAAAACTTTTTTTCTTTCCGAGCTTTCTGACCGGCAGGTATTAATGAGCAGGAGCAACAGTGTAGAAGCAAAAGTATATATTTTTTAATCCTATATTAATTGAGCATTTTTTTTCCGGCCAGTGAAAATGCTGCTGACAGCATGAGTCTGTGGGTCTGAAGTGACAAATTACAAGTGACTTAATGCTTTACAGGTTCTGGAGGTCAGACATGAAGCCAAGCGAGCCCTCGCGTGTCCTAAATCATCACAAATGATGCCGCATGAGTCTTCGGAAGCAGACAGATGTTCTAGTGCTCCAGAGGTGAACGTGATCCACCACCTCTTTGTCCTCCTGCCATGTCCTGACGTGGTATTAAGGAGGGAATTTATGATTAGCCCCTAAGTGCTTCTCTGTGGCAGCAGCGAAACGGCGTCTATTGAGCCACTGCAGCTCTGTGATTTACCCGCATCAGCCTGATAAACGGGGAGACGAGGTTTGTCCAAAGGTTCGTCCTGTTGAGGACGGCTAAATAGATTCGCACTGTTTTTGTGGCCCGGTGTTTGGAGAGAAAGTGCCAAAGAGAAACGACCGGTTTGCTGAGGTGCTTAAAACGCTGTAAGCGTGTAAACTTATTCTGATGCTCGTCATCAACTTTAAACTCCTCATCGGGAAACTGCGACTTGAGCGCCTTTGAACAATTGTTTTTAAAAAAAAAAGAGAATTGATGTTGAAGTTTTTTTCTTTTAATTAAGGCGCTGTATCTACACAATATTTAACGAAATGTATCGATAAATGAAGTGTAAATATTTGTTTTAGTTTAAAGGGAGTCTTGGTTCCGTGTCATCGTGATTATTGTGCCTATTGAAAACCATTCACTACAGAAAACCTTCCAGAGACACAATTAAATAAATAACTTAAATCATTCACACCTTCAACCCAGAACTCGCTTCAGAAATACGGAGAATAAAGTAAATTAGCGTGCAGAATGTTTCCCGAAAAAGTTAAGGCACCATGAGCCACGTGTCCTTTTGAAAATATTTTTTTTATTTCGATAGACAACAACGATATACACATACAATCAAAGCGCTATAAAAGCCAACATTTAAGAAAAATAACTTGTCCTTAAAAAAGATTGCATCTAAGGTAAGAGCTTTACGTTTTTTTTTCTTTTAACAAGAGCTGTGGTGATTGAAGATTAAAACCCGATCCACGATAATTATCACAACTCGTGAATTTGAGCAAAAAGAAAATAAAACATTTTGGCTATACGACATGTAAACTGCCAGAACGATTCACAGAAGAAGTCACAACAAACACAACAATAAGTTACACAAAATAATTAGAATAAATAAATAAATAAACATATGATGAAAAATATTGCAACAATTCTTCAATAATAATAATAATAATAATAACATAATAAAATATGTGCCGGCGTTCAAAATCAAAACAGTGTATGTTGACTTTTTTTTAAGGCAGTTATACAGCGGGATGTGGACGTATGTGTGTCGGACTACAGGCTCGTCTGTAAATTATACTAAAGGCAGTCGTGGTTCTACTACACAGGGAATGCTTCAGTCACTCGTTTTCCCAACGATACAAAGTTGACGCGTTCCGTCGGTCACAAACCAGCGTAAAGCTTCAGCGACAGAGCATCACGGTCGGGGAATTCACGGGGTCGGGAGGGGGGTAGTTGGGGGTGGGGGGGGGGGGGTCTGAGGATTTTTAAGACATTTCTTAGGTCTAGAAGCTATCATCGAACACATGTGCTGTCCTAGAAAAATACCCTTTTAACAGTCAAACTAACGCTTTGTATTCTTTTTTTTTTCTTGATAAACTAATTTGAGAAAGAGAATCTCAAAATAGGCCTATATGTAATTCAAATATAGAGAGAAGCATTCAACAATCACTGATTGGCATGGAAAAGACACCTCATTTAACACCACTTAAACATCAAACCGCCCCGCCTTTTTATTGGCCCATTGTATGGCAGAAACTCTTTTCTTTTTTTTTCTTCTTTTTTTTTACTCCGAAGCCACTTTTTCTTTTACTTCTCCCTCCCAGCAAAGGCACGAGTTTACGGTTGTCTCTAGCAGGCGGGGCGCACCGGCATCTGCAGCAGGATCACCTGCCTGTTCTCCGAGGGGTGGCACTTGTTTATGTGCCTGGTGAGCCCCGGCGAGCTGTACAGAGTGGCGGGGCAGTATTTGCACGGGTAGATCTGGGAGGAGTGCATGAGGCGCAGGTGTCTCTCCTGGCCGGCCCTGCTGGTGAAACTCTCCCCGCACACCGGGCACAGCAGGCAGTCCACCGGGCTCAGATTGAGGGGGCTTTGGTTTGAGGCTTCCTCTGAGGATGATGAGGAGGAGGAGGAGGATGCTGAGGAGGACAAGACCGGAGCCTGCTCGGCCGGCTGCTCGCCGGTTTGGAACCCGTGCTCCTCCAGCACTTTCTTTTGCAACGCCTGGTGCGCCATGATGTGTTTTCTTAGGTATGCCTGTCGCTTAAACCTCTTCCCGCAGTACTGGCAGTCATATGTGCCGTCCTCGGAGCCCGACTCGGACAGGCCGGGGCTCGGGGTGTCCCTGTCGCTCATGTCTTTGGCTTCGTCGGTGACCGACTTGACACCTAGCGGTGGCATTTTGGCCGTTTCGGGTTTGATGCCCTGAGCCGGTGGCATCGCCGGCGCGCCGGTGGTCCGGGGTTTGTGCCAGCGGCGATGAGAGGCGAGGTTGGCCGGGCAGCTGAACATCTTATCGCACTCCGGACACCGGTACTCGACCCGCACGATGCGGGAGCACTTGTGCTGAGCCAGGGAGAAGGGGTCCGCGTACGCCTCCTTGCACAGCTGACACACAAACTCTCCGAGGGGCTTGTTTCCTCCGGAGGACTGCGACCTCGGCTTCACCTCCAGCGGCCCCTCTTTGATTTTGAGACCAAGCACGGGAGAAGTCGTCATCTCGTCTTCGAAGTTGAGCTTCCTAATGGCTTTGGGTTTCTTGGGGGCGGGTTTAGATTTGCGCTCCGTGCCGTCCGCTGCGGGTCTTTTGGCGGCGACCCGGTTGCTCGGTGCGGGGAGGCTGCTGGTGGTGCCGCTGCGGCTGCTATTGCTGGTGCCGATTTTCAGGTCAACCGGGGCGTACAGGAGGTGGTCCAGGCCGGAGAGGGAGGCAGGGGTCGGGAATGACTCTGCAGAAATCGGCGAGCCCAGATTGAAACTTCGCTCAAAATATCCCCGGTCGTGCTCCTTGCTGATGGGCCGGGTGGGGCTGTAGAGGGCTTGGCACGCCGCCTCTGGGTTACCGAACTGTAACGGCTTCTCGCGTCTTGGCACCGGCACGTCGGCTGCTCTGAAATCCGGAGATGCCGCGGCGCGGTCCGGACTGGACACCACGGACATCGGCGGGGAGGGGTCCACGTAACTCGGCAAGGCAGCTGGGGTGGGGTGTTCCTGGAGGTCATCTTCGTCCGACCGAGGTCTGTAGGAAATATGTGCAGATTTCCTGTTTCTTTTTACCAGGAATCCTTTGGGCATCTTGGCGAGTAACGGCAGAAAGGCACTTCGGGGAGGTGGGCGAAGTCTGGAGTATCCAGGTTTGTTAAAAATATGGCAATTCTAGAAGCTTACGGGACTTTATCTCCCCGGTATATCGATTCTTCTGTTGCTGAAATGTTTTCGTCTCCAAGGCATAGCTCCACTCTTTTTATGCCGGAATGATGCTATTGTTCTCGCCCCCCCCTGTGGCAGAATCCCCAACCAATCAGATGGAACCTGGATCCCAGTGGATTGGATTGTGGGAGGACTCAGGGTCGGGGTTTGGTGGATTTCGTTGGAGGATGTGCAGATAGCTTAGCAGATGTACTGGCGGTTTATTACATTAATGTGTGCGCTCAGCCCCTCCCCAACAGAGGCACACGACGGGGCCCTCCTCTTTTTACGGTCTGATAGTCCCCTATACAAATGCACACGTGCCACGGCTTTGTGGCTCTCCTCTGGGGGCCCCGGAGCTGCCAAAAGGAAATGTCCGTCACTGCCACAATCATCACAATTTGGGGATGAGACAAGCTTGGTTAAATACAAATAAAAAGCAGTATTTATTTCAAATGTTGCTGTGGTGTTGCTCATAGAGAGCATTCGCCTAAATAGTCACAACTGTGAGACCACATTATCTCACATCCCTTTTTTTCTTCTTATCTTGGTTTTACCTCCACACGTTTAAGACTTGTTTGTTTTCTGTTTCAGCGCTCCTCTTTTACGCACGAGCGTTGCGCACATCCTCAGGCCAACCATGCGGACAAAACGGGTTTATAGACTTTGATTTTATTATGTCTTCAATAAACACTATAGAGGGAGTGTTTCTTTATTGTAGGGCACGTGTCTGTCTCGGTTTAACTCGACATATAAATCAGACATCTCGCTGCATACATAAGTAATAAGAAGCTCCTCTGGTCTTTGTGCACAAGAGCAACGTCTGCCCGTTCTTGAATATCCCTGTCTTCTTTTTTTTTGTCGTTTGAAAGGCAAATTGACCTCTTAACGGGACTCACGGCCAATCTGGCCCGCGTGCTGGGCGGAATCAGTGCTGCAGACAAAGACACATTTGTGCGGTTTTTAAGTTGTTTCGGGGCTCAATTTGCTGAGAAGTTGGTGCGCTTCAATATTAAATATAAATACCGTAATATTTTTTTTGACACTAAAGTTCTGCACCTCCCTGACCGGCCAACAAAACACATCTTTATTTCCCACACGGCTGTCTGCGCCAAATGTTCTTTACCAGCTCCCCTACGGTTTCTGCGCATACCTCATATATCGTGTATTTGTCTTTTTTTTCGTTATAATGGCTCAACGTAGGCTGCAGAGCGCCACTTGGCACAGAGCGCATTCTTTTTCCTTTCACTCGGCAGACCAGGGAGGAATTAATCTCCATCGTCGTACATTGTTCCCCTTATTTGCATAAAGCTGCACTATGACCAAGTCAAATAATTACACAATCGGAGCCGCAGGCCTGCGCCTTCCTTTCAATGGGCCTCTGTGTGCCGGTACCTTCTCACCTGCCTGCAAGCACACCGTTATTTGGGTTGGAATTGACACATTTGCTAAAAGCAACATAAATAAAATAAAAAAAACTGCATATTGATATATATTTTTTGTTCCTTTTAAAGACCCGGCTAACTTTTCATGATTTAAGTCAGGGACTATTTGAACGCACTGCTCTGTTTAGTTTGAATGTTATCTACTGGAACTACTTTCCCCCGTTTGGACTCTATTCGTTTATCAATCTTTACATCTTTATCACACAAGATATAACTTATCCAAACGTCTTGTTCGCTGTGCCTGTTACTTGTTGTTCCTTCAGTCTCCACGTCTATTAGTCGTGTTTTGTTTGGACTACATGCTTTGATGGCATTTTAACGAGTTCCTCTTTCCCCCGTGATAATTTCCGTGGGCTGCGTGGGCCGGTTCTCTTGGCTACACAAACGCATGCGCCTGTTTGATCAGTGGCGTGTGCTGCACGGGAAGCGAAGGCCCCTCATTAACATACAGCTGCAGCTGCTTTAATGCAGCTCAACTTCATCCTTCTGAACCTTATGGCACGCTGTAGTTTTTTTTGTATATATATATAAACGTGGTTCTCATTCTACTCTTATACCAGTACAACATGTGATCTAATTTCTCAAATGATGATATGAAAGTTAAAGATGCACGTGTTATCTTTTAAATTCTATTATGTGATTTACAACCGTTGTTTGTTTGTTTTTTACGCCGTGGGCCCACGTTTGCTCAGCTTTCTGCAAATATTAACTTTAAGAAGATGGCAGAGCTGTCACATGTCTGCTATTTTATGACTTAACTGTACAACCAGAAGTTTGATTTGAAAACTGTATTAGTTTCTGAGCCAGTTCTTACTACATTGCGCCCCCTACAGGATAAATAACTCACAGAGAAACGTTGAGCTTCAGTATCCAAAGCGTTGCACTCAGATCCCTTTGCAGGCATCTCACCATGCCGTTCCTGTCAAACATTAACCCGGTTACCCAGGGAGTTTGGTAATTCCATTAGATTAGATTAGCCTTATTCTCGCCATGTACATGTCCAGAAACCTCCTGTACCTCCCAGATGAATGATTGGCTCCATGTGCTTCGCGGACCCAAGCCAATTTGAAAGTGCAATGGAACATGACTGTAATTGGTGCTCACTACATGGCCACCTTCAATGCATTGTCAATCAATTATTGTAATGGATTAGCTGAGGTCCTATTCTGGCTGGTCGTAATCTGATAGTGGGCTCTTTCAGCACCATGGAGAGAGCCAGCGAGGGACCCAGATTTAATCAGGCGGGCCGTGGACACGGCACAGCCTCGGCCTGAGCCTTTGTCCCCGCAAACGGCGAGCAGGCAGGCGTCAGCGAGGGAACAATAGCGCAGTGGAACAAAAGTGCTGGAGTTTAATGAAGTGTTTTTTAAACGTAGTTCTGTTTGGATTTCCATGACACATTTAAACTATTTCTACGGCGAGGTGATGGCTCAGTTCACCCCTTCAATGTTCTTTTTAGTCGCTCTGTTGCAGTTTTGTTGATGAATTTACCGGCTTGTTAGTTGATAATCAATCGACATGTATACTTTTACTGTAATTCCCAAAGAGAAGATTAGATAATCGGGAGGTTTTCTGCCAAATGTTTTGTATTTGGTATTTGTGCAAGCAAAATGAACTGTGTGGCACCGCTTTAGTTTCTCCTGGAATACCAGGAAAACCATCTGTTGGCCGTCTTAGGGGAGTCAACAAGTCATCGCGAAACAACAGTCAGCACTTATAAAGAGCAACAATGGTAAAAGGCTTGTCGTGAGCCTCTGGAAGAGAAATTCGACTGTAGCATCCAGAGGATCAATGGGGAAATTGCTTGTTTGGCCATGAGAGCAACACAGAGGTCACTGTCTAGACTTTAAAGTGTACTTTGGAAGGGTACCCGCGAGACCAGGTTACTGTGAAAAGCCCTGTAAAGTGGTACAGCTCTGAGCTTAAGACTAATGGACCTCGGTGTTGACTTAGAATGTCCCCAATGTCATCCGTGCTTTTGACAATGATGCTGATGACTCTATGAGGACAGTCGCTTGGGCTTTTATGTCATTTCTGAAGAGGTTAGGATGAGCTGGCTACAAACTCGTATATATATACATATATATATATACACACACTAGGGAAATACCACATCAATGATTTCCAAAAGGTTGCTCATTACGTCAAGGAAAACCTTTAATTGGATTTATCCAGGATGTGTGTCCTCAGACATGAACAAATACTTCAAAGGGACACTAGCTTTTTTCCGCTTCTTTCCCATAAAGAGCCTCTTATTAAAAAATGGTCTTCCTGCATATCAATCATATCAGCAGCTGGAGTCCCAGGGGCATATTTAGCTCTAATTTACTCGTCAAAAACATCAGAGTGTCTCTCAATAATCTCCACAGTGCATTGGCGGTTTGGGGTCGGTGTCCCCTGTCAGAAAGCATGCCCTGGAATGTTAAACACTAATTCACCTCCGAGCTGTGGAGGTGGATGAAGTGATTGTTCTATCTGGGAACTGATTAAAACGGCTCTGGCCTGCTTCTCACCTCTGACGTCGGCCACATTCATTTCTGTATTCATGAGCGGATGAGAAAGTGCAGGCAGAGCGGCTGCCGTATTACAGATAATAAGACCAGCGGGCACCACATTCGCTGCCACAGGTTTCCCCCTGCCCCGGCTCATTCAATTATTTCACAAGAGTCCTCTGAGGCACAGCTGCACTATGGGGGTGAAGAGGAGTAAATTGAGACACACACACACACACACACACACACACACACACACACACACACACACAGGAAAACGCACAAGCTCCTTATACAAAGAAGTGGAGGAGGCACATGCACACTGTAGCAAGAGAAGCCGGCATACAAAAGATTTTTTACTGACAAGCATTTGGCTTTGTACTATCGGTCGGTGCATTTCTTACACATGTAGACAACAAAAAATGGCCCGTCCTCCGTTGCTCACTGGCTCCCTGAAGATTGCAATGATATTGGTAACGACTCCGCGTAAGAAAAATGAAATCAGGGCCATTGCTCATAGACTCCATATATGAGGTCGCCATTATCTTGATGAAAGTGTAGACAGCAGCTGTGTCATCGAGGAGCATGAGAGATGGACTCTGGCAGGCCTAATGGGCTATATCCTTTATCTATTGACATATGGAGCTACACAGTGGTCATCTTTCTCACAACCTCAAACTACGAGTCAGCTTATCTCACTCATTTATTCATATGCTAAATTCATGTAGAAACCTCCGTTGAATACATAACGGTCCCTGAATTAATGTTCAAGGCGTTATATTTTAAACACCAGCTCTGCAGTTGAAGTCTGTCTTTGTGGTGCGTGGGGAAGGGTTGCTGTCCATGGTCCTGAACTCTTCCTTCTGAGTTTACAGTGCCGGCTGCCTCTTGGTGACTTGGGCTCTATAAAAGACACCGGGCCAGTGCGAAATACTACAAGTTTGTGCCATGTGAGGGGTTTTAAGTGCCAGAGTAATGAGATTCTGCCATTCTTAGTCTCAAATTAGTGGCATTATGCCCTTTATATCGTTTTTTTAACATGATGTTGCACATGTTTTGTTAGATTTTGCAGCTTTTTTATTTTGACAATAAAAACAGTAGGTGTATGTGTGTTGTTGTGTGA